GTCTGGCCCGGGTGGGCGAGGGCTTGGGTCTGCCCACCGGGATGCGCCTTTCCTGCAGGCCCCCAGCCTCGGAGGTCCCCCTGGTCCCGGTCACAAAGGCCTGGGCCCTAAGCCGGGGCACACAGGGAGCCGAGGAGGGAGGGACCCAGCATCCTCGAGTGACCGCGTCCTCCCCGCCCCGGGAGGCTACTCAAGGCCCGGGCGTGCCTGGACCGCGTCGGGGTGGCTGAGAGGGGGGGCAAGGGGGTGTGCAAGGGTGGCCGTGACTGTCCCGCAGAGAAATCACGGGGTGTCCGGGCTGGCCCGATCCTCTCTCCGTGGACCCTCCGGTGGGACAGGGCCGGTTGTCGCCCCCAGCTGCCTGAGGATCTTCCTTTGTCTTCCCGAGCACCGGGCGGTCAGGGCCAGCTCGAGGCCCTAGCGCGGTCCCTCCAGGAGAGGGGGCAGCTGCGGGCTCCTAGAGACTGCCAGCCCCCTGGCTCGGTGGGACCACTAGCCTGGACCCTGGGATCTCTGCTGTGGCCTGAGGACCCCCTCCTGCCCCCCAGGCCATATGCCAGCTGGGCACACCATGCCCTCTCGCACTTTCTCTTCTCTAGTCCGATTTGCAGTTACACTGTTTTAGAGTTGTGCTGGAAGAAGGGTATTGAACTGCCAAGAGAGCAAACAGGTCTGTCCTGGAGAGGGTGAAACCAGGCTGCTCCTTGGAGTCAAAGAGTATTAAGCTCTGTCTCAGATACTTTGGGCATGTTGCCAGGAGGGACCAGTCCTTGGAGAGGGACATCATGGTTGGAAGGGTGGAGGGTCAGTGTAGGAGAGGAAGACCCAGGAGGAGATGGATTGACACAGTGACCGGGGCAATGGGAGCAGGTGTGTCAGAGACGATGAAGTTGGATCACAATAGGACCAGGATCAAAGCCATTATAGTGTCACTATGAGTTGTAGACCACTCAACGCTAAATAACACCACCACATCCATTTGAGCCATTTGTGGAGGTGACGGATAGGGGAGAGCCCCCTGGATCTCCACTGGAGGAGATATGTTTTCCTGCACTCTTGATTCAGCAGAATTCAGGGATGTTCCTGTCACATCTGCCAGGTCTCAGTTAGCCTAGAACAGGTACCTCCATTCCTAGAGCTACTGCCCTCACCATTAGCTGTAGCTCCTCAAAGCAAGCTCCTCAAGCTGGTTTATGGAATACCTGCCCTTTCCAGTTCTCCTTCTCTCCTAAACCATCCTTAGCTATCTTGCCAGGTGGGTATGGGCAGCTTGGAGTACCACATCGGAGACCCTGCCTTCTTTTCCATCCATTAGCCAGTGCTGTCCTTCTTGTAACCTGCCTCCCCTCCCCTATCTGTCTTCCACTCAGTTCTCTGGCTACTTCAGGAATGGCCAAAGCCTCCATTTATGTTGGAATGGGCTCCATCCTCGTTCCTGGTCCTTTGCCTGGTCTCTCCCACAGGGCAGGCCTGGAATCTCCTATGAGAGCCGCTCCCTGAACGTCTGCTAGAACCTCCCAGTCCTGGCATGGGCTTGGCCTGCCAGGTTTTGAGCCCTAGCCCATCCTGACTCTGTCCAACTCTTTCTATAACCCTGGCTTGAACACTTGCGACCCCACACTATTTTTCCCTGAAGGTCTTGCTACTTCTAGCACATCACCCTAGGTCACTTTCAAAACTAGTGCCTTGAACTTTGGTAAAAGCAGATGAGGAGGAAAGAACCTGCCAAGGAGGAATGGTGGTAGGAGGGGTGGACACTGCCCTGTGCTGTCGGAAGCTGTCTCCACTTGCTATGTGGAGCATCACAGGTAGGCCCAGCAGCAAGGCATGCTCTGCGGGGCTAGAGTCTGGCTTGGGCAGTCAGTGGCCTGCTGCAGTAAGATATTCTGGGTTTCCTCCATATGCTGCAGCATCCAACTGTTGTTCTGTGCCGTCAAGTCGACTGCAACTTATAGCAACTCTATGAACAGTAGGTCTGACCTCGTAGCTCTATCTAGAGCCAGTCTGTCTCACTGTCTTCGACACACCTGTCCCCATTACCCTCCTCACTTTGTCAGTCTATCTCATCTAGTGTCTTGGTCTCCAAGGAGACCAGTCCTTGGAGAAGGACATCTTGCTTGGAAGGGTGGAGGGTGAGCGAAGGAGAGAAAGGGTTCTCCTGGAGATGCAGTATCTCTCAGCCCTCAGCCCTGATGTTTGCAGAGCAGTGTTGTATACAAGCATGGATTCTGGAGGCAGACAACCTGTCTTTTCCATCACTGATATATCCTTTCCCTTCTGTGTCTCAGTATTCTCATTTCTAAAACAAGCACTGTAACCCCAACCCACCTCACAGAGTTGCAGTGAGGATCAAATCGTAAGGCAGTTATAACAATAAGTGCAATGTTCTTGCAGGAGACTCACCTCCCGAGTTCTCATGTGCTGGGAGTTACTGTCTACACTTTCCTGTCTACAACCTTCCAGCTCTCTTGGAGACGAAAGGGAGCCAGGGAGAATGCGATAGAACTGGGTTCAAGAACCCCGGGGCCCCTTCTAGCGCCTTTAAAACCAACTCCTCAGCCTTCTCCCCTTACTGTGCACCCTCTATTCGGGCCATGGCCAGGCTGGTTCCATCAGCTGATGCCCAGATGTCCTTAAAAGGACACTCCTCCCAGGGCACTCTCCTCACAGAACACACCCACATTCACAAACCTTCCTTATACCCTGTTCTTCCTGCCCCACTGCAAGAACTATAAAAGTAGAAGTCAGGGGATAAGAGGGACCTTTTCTGGCCCCAGAGTCCTGGGCTTCTGTCCTACTTGTGTCTATATTTAATTTGTGATCCTAATCAAGTCTATTTGCCACTCTGTGCTCATTTTTCTCATCCATGGGGTAACAATACATACTTCACAGAGATTGTTGTAAAAATACTAAATTAAGGAACTAATAAGGACCTCCAGGTGGCCTAGCGGTAAGAAGCTGTGCTGCAATTCCGAAGGCATGCAGTTCAAATTTACTAGCTGCTTTGCAGAAGGATGGGCAAGCTCCTCCCATGTGATTAACTGCCTCTGAGAGCCTGCTTAAGGGTCAGCTATGGGTTGGTTCTGATTCCATGGCATAAAACAACGCGTATTGGAGGGCGCTCTAGTAGCATAGTCTGCAGAGAGTTGTGCTGTGAGCCCCAAAGCCATACCTCTCCGGTGGTTCAAATCCACCAGTGGCCCTTCTGGGAGAAAGATGGGTAATCTCCTCTCCTGTGTGGTTTATGGCCTTGGAAGTCAAACAGAGGGTTTGAATGGGTCTGACTTCACCACAATGAGGGAAGGGAGAGAGAGAGAGAATGAGTGAGAGAAAGACTATAGAAGCATGGTTCTGTTGTTGTTAGGTGCAGTCAAGTATGACTCATAGCGACCCTGTAAACAACCAATCTGAAAGCTGTTCTATCCTGTACCAGCCTCACAATCCTCAACATCCTTGGCCCACTGTGTCAACCCACCTGGCTGAGGGTCTTCCTCTCCTTTGCATCCCTCCACCTACCCAAGCATGATGTCCTTCTCCAAGGAGTAACGTCTCCTAGCAACGCGCCCAAAGTATGTGAGATGAAGTTCATCATTTTTGCCTCCAGGTGCACTCTTGGCTGCACCTTCTGTAAGATCTCTATCTTAGCACTCGGCTCTCCAAAAAGCCTGAACTTGTGTTGTGATTTCACTATACAAGCCTCTTATAGGAAGGCTCTTACTCTTCCCCTCCGCCCCAACTGAAGAATGGCTCTTCTGTGCCCATATTTCCGCTTATCCACACGACCACACGGCTCATGATTTATTCTGTGGTGTGTGGCCTGAAATAAGTAGCGCTGCGCTCCAGTTTTGTCGTTATTAATGCTGTGCTTGTCTGTGCTAATAACTGACCTTCCTAGTGACTCACTGGGGATGCTACTGATTGGAGCAGTGAAGCGAAAAGAATTATTATGAGGCAGAGAGGAGTGAATCAGGCCAGAGGTCTGGGTGGGCCTCAGAAAAATAACTGCGCAGCGAATGAAAGGGAAGCTGTTGCTGGGCATGAAAGGACCTCCCTGTTTCAAGCACACGGGAGGTGCTGTATACAGCCGTCCTCATCCAACTCTTCACCCCTGCGCCAACGGGCCCCTTTCCACGATCAGTGCTTTTCCAGGCAGCCTAGAGATGACCCAGGTGGGGAGATGGGCGGGGGGGACGGGGCCAGATGGCCTCAAGTGGACAGTGATGAAACAGCGAGCTGAGTCACAATGAGTTCGTGGTGTAATTGAGGCTCTTAGCAGGCGGGCTCTGGGGGGGGCCCCGCCGCGCCCCGTTCCCCCCTCCAGGATCGGTCCCCCAAAATGCCCGCGGGGGTCCCCCGGCCGGCCCCGCCCTCGCCACGTCTGACCGGCGCCTGATTTCGAGGCGCGCACGCCACGCCCAGGCCGGGGGCTCTGCCTTCACTGTCCCCGGGCCTGGCTCCCCGCTGGGCGCCGCTCCTTCGCCCTGAGATCCACCGCTTTCACCTCCGGGTCTTCGGGGCAGCTCCTGGTTCGCATCCTGGGTGGCCACTCGGCTTCCACGTCGCCTCGCCGGCGATGGCTCCCATCCTGAATTCCTCCTCCTCCTGCTCGGGCTGGACTCCCTCGCTCCGCCCCTTTGGCTTTGGCTCCGCCCCGAGCCACTTTCTGGGCCCCGAGCTCCTTCGGGAGCTGAGACTCCAGCCTCCTCCGCTTCCGGGATCCGGCTCCTCCGCCCCGCCCACTGCTAGCTGGCTCCGCCCCTCAGACTTAGACTCCGCCCCCTCGCCGTGCCGCAGGCTCCGCCCCACAGCTCCGGCCCCGCCTTCCAGGGTCTAGCTCCGCCCCGGGGCCACGTTCCCGTCTTCCAGGGTCTAGCCCCGCCCCCTGGGCTGTAGCTCCTCCCCTCCTGGACTCCGCCTCCGCTCTGTCCGCCGGGGTTTCTGCGGGCTGCCCTGTCCCGGGCCAGGCGGGGTTCGCAATCGGGGCCCCTTGAGAAGCAGTCATGCAGTGTCTGGGGATCCAGCAATGCTACCCCCTCTCCACGGAGTTCTACCTGGAGGAGCAGGACCTCGAGGTGGTAGCACTCAATGAGCAGAGGCTGGGTAAGGGACCCAAAAAAAGCCTTCAAGATCCTGGGAGGCAGCTGGGACGGGACTCAGACTTCTGGCCAGAGCACGGGGTCGCTTGCTCTAGTCTTAGATCGCATGTGTTTGGTCCTCTTGTGAGTGGGCAGTGTTTACAGTGGTGACACATGAGGGTGACTAGTGGGGGCACTAATCATGATCTCCCCCAGCCTTTCAAAATTCCCCCTCTCTGTCACCTTTGACCCCCCTGTGTATACATTTTTAATGCACCTCTGGACACGTGATGTGTGGTTGATCTGATTATAACCCTGTATATTTGTATTTGTATGTGATAAGGATTGTAGGTAACTCAGTGGTACCTGATTTTATCAGCTTATGTGATGTAGCCTGGCCTGCTGTGTTAGTGATAGTGTGTAATGCTCTGTGACAGTGTGTAAGCTAGTGTGTGACAGAGGTGACAAGGTACTTCTGTGGCTGCTACAGCGGTTTTCCCCTGGTGTATTGTGGTTTGTGCATTGCAGCATGTATCTATCTGATGGAGTTCCTCTCTGGCTGTGTGGGAAGGCTCTGGTTGCATAAGGTAATGAATGTTCACACCACTGATACTGCTTTTGAGTTCTGACTCTGCTATGTGTAACTTCCTTGAGCCTCAATTTCCTCATCTGTAAAATGGGAATAATGCTAGTGCCTTCCTCACAGGGCTGTCGATGGGTTAAATACGTATGTTAACATGATCTTGTACAAATGCGGCTGCTGTTATTATTATGGTGATGCTCAGTTGACGTACGTGGCTAAATGTGTTGTGTGTGACTGTATCACTGTACAGCTGTGTTGGGTCCTGATGTGTCTCCATTCCATCCCCTCAGATATATAGCAGGACTGCTGGCACCAAGGAGCCTCTTATTAGCACCTCTGGGCCCCTCTGCAGGCCTCCACATGACCACGTCCTTGCGTGCAGCTGGCCTTGACAGACTAGAGAGGTTGCACCCATCAACCAGTGATCCCAGTGCTCAGAGGTCTCTCACCACTCCTCCCCTGCCCCAAAAGGAGAGGGTATTATGGCTGAGAGAGGGGGCTGGGGTAAGGGGTGTGCACTGGGTGGTCTAGTCAGGTGGGAATTGTGCGGCCTAACCAAAGGCAGAGCCTTTCAGGTGGTTCAGATCTGCCAGCAGTTTCTCAGAGAGAAAGCTGGGCAGTCTCGTCCCCTGAGATTTTCAGCCTTGGGGCCCAGTGGCGGGTCAGCTGGGAGTCGGTTCTGTTGTTATGGCAATGAGTTTTTGAGTGAGAAGGTGGAAAGGGTGGGTGGAAAGGGTGGGTGGAAAGGGTGGGTGGGTCCCTGAGTTTTTGAGTGAGAAGGTGGAAAGGGTGGGTGGAAAGGGTGGGTGGGTCCCTGAGTTTTTGAGTGAGAAGGTGGAAAGGGTGGGTGGGTGCCGACTCAAAAGGGCCCCAGCTAAGTCTCAGACACAGAGGTGCCCACTCGCTCCCTGGCTGTCACCGCTCTGGAATAATCAAGGCCCACTGTGGGGCTGATGCCATGCCAGAGTCCGGAAGCCATGGTAGCTGCCGGGGGCTTATCTGAGTCTGACTGCAGATAGGGCTGCAGCCTGGCTCCAGGACAGGATGGACATGTCATCTCCTCGTGGTGTTTTCCAGGATCGAGGGTGGGGTGCACCTTCCTACCTCCCAGCCCCCCTCTGTTCCCACTCTCTTCTCAGCAGCCCTGGGGCATCTGCCCTTCTGGTGGGTGGGATGCTGATGGAGATATCTTGCCCAGTTGCAGCCCTGAAAAGACAGAGGCTGGAGGTGGCCCACCCACTCCACTGGCAGGCTGGACCGCCAGGAGCCTTCCTCCACTGTGAGCCTGGTAGACACAACCATCAGTTCAGGACATCTTGTAGGACGGCCTTTGAATTGAATGGGAACTTCTCTCGTGGAGGAGAAAGGGCTTCTGGGAATAGGACTTGAGACAGAAGTGGGGGATGTCACATCAGACGAACACTTCTGAGAGGGTCAGAGATGCCCAGTTCAAGACTAATCTTACCCCAGTGCTGATGGGGGGACATGCATAGGGAGAGAAGGGAGTTAGTTACCCAAAGACACAGGACATGTGTCCACTGGACAAAGGAGATTGTGGATGGTGGTGCAGTGTGTGGGTGACTGAGGCCTGGGTGATTGGTCCAGAAGCTTCTATAGCCTGTGAATATGGGAGTGCAAGCTGGTGAGAGGCATGTATAAAGAGGGAAAGGCTGTCAGGGTTTGGGGATCTGGGCTTGAAAAAGAGAAGTTTACGACCTTTAGCAGTTTACGTGTGAGTGTTCCACAAAGGCCTAGACTCAGGATCCCAGATGCCAATGTTCACTTAACTAGATCTAGTTCAGGAGACAGAAGAGAAGTGGTCCTTTAGTTCTGGACAAAGCAGAACCACATGTGGCTAGGGTGGGGTGTGTATGTATATATATTTATTTATCTCTGTATTAAGGAGCCTTGGTGGCGGAGTGATGTTATGTGTTGCACTACTAAGTCAAAGGTCAGCAGTTCGACTCCACCAACCCCTCCCAATCCTGTATTCTCAGAAATCTGAGGAGGAGGGTGCTGTGGGTTAGAAACGACCTGATGGCAGTAGGTGTCATAATATTCTAGAAATGGGTCCTTAAAGTAGCAAGTGTCTCCTTTTTTCCAGTCTGTTGGATTACATTTGGTGCAGGGTGGACTTGGAGGTGAGGGCTCCTGGAAGGGTTAGGCTGTTTCCCCTCTGTTCCTTCCAGTTTGAGCTGGATGGGAACAAAGGGCATCGTATCTCTGGAAGCCATGCTCCAGACTAGCAGGTCAACAAGAGAGAGGTGGGCGGTGGTGGAGGTGGTGGATGTTGGTGGAGGTGGTGGCCAAGTAAGTAGGGCTCTGGCTTTGCTCCTGAAAGGGCTGCTCTGTGCCTCAGGACACTCAGATGTAGAAGTGAAACAGGAGCCGCCCTGTAGAGCTGCTCCAAGCCTGCAGTGAGCACATCCATCTCTCCTGGGGGCCTAGATCAGAAGCTGGACGTCAGGGGCAGGGACAGCAGAAGCAGCGGGGATGCACAGGACCCCCACAGCAGCCACAATCTCAATACCAGGACGACAGCTGTCATGACTTAGTGCCCAGGACCCTCCTCAGATGCACGCTGCTTCTTGTTCAGCCTCAGAACGTCCCTGTTATTACCATCCCCGTTTTAGAGACAGGCAAGCAGGGGTCCAGCAACTCAAGGACATTTGCCCGGGCCACACGACTGGTCAGGAAGGGGACTGGTGATTCTAGAGTCACTGAAGCTGGGCTCCAGTTTGAGGCTGTGGTTTGTCCATGTCTTTCCTGTCCCACCTGGCCTTTTGGTCCTATTGTTGTTGTTAGGTACCGTTGAGTCCAGTGCAACTCACAGTGACCCTGTGACCAGTGGATCTGAACCCTGCCCTATTCTGTGCCGTCCTCATCATCCCTGACACATTTGAGCCCACTGCTGCAGTCACTGTGTCAGTCTGTCTTGTTAAGGGTCTTCCTCTCTGTCACTGACCCTCCACTTTTCCATGCATGATGTCCCTTTCCAAGGACCAGCCTCTTCTTGCAACACGCCCAAAGTATATGAGACAAAGCTTTACCACCATTGGCCTCCAAGGTGCACTCTGTCTGCGCTTTTTCCGAGACACATCTGCCTGTTCTTTTAGCAGTCCATGGGATATTCAGTGCCCTTTACCCACCGGACAGTTCCAAAGCATCAGTTCTCCTGTCATCCTTATTCATTGTCCAGCTCTCAGATGCATAGCACGTAACTGAGAAGACTATGTGCTATCTTCGTTCAATTCATTCTGACCCCTGATGTGACCATGAGGAACCTATCTCATCGTTAAGAGCCAGGTCATGTCGTGGGGGGCTCGTCTTTTAGAAACCCATTGCTCTTGCATTTGCTGTTCCCCATTTCTCCACTCAGTGTGGGCGCCAGGCCACAGCATGTAAAGTATGACAAGTGTTCCGAGACGTAGCGTGGCCACTTCAGCTGGCAATCGGGGGTAGCTTCCTGGAGGAGGCAGGCCCCAGCAGCAGGCCGGAGTGTGGGTGAAGGAAGGAGCAGTGGACGGAGGGTCTGGAGGTGGATGTGGCCAGTGCGGGGTCTCAGGCCGTACAAACGTTGGTGGAGCAGGTGGCATTCAGTGTGCTCTGTCCCCCCAGGCCTGCAGAATGACGAGGACCTGCACGTACTGCTGAAAGGCAGTCACCTTCTCAAGGTGAAGTCCAGCTCCTGGCGGCGAGAGCGCTTCTATAAGCTGCAGGAAGACTGCAAGACCATCTGGCAGGAGTCCCGCAAGGTCATGCGGAACCCAGAGTCCCAGATGTGTGAGTGCCGGGGCAGCGGGCAGAAGGCGCAACTGGGGTGGGCAAACTGAGGCGGGCTGGGGTGGTGGGAGAGATGGTCAATCATAAAAAAACAAAACAAAACACTGTTATAAAAACTAGGATGCACTTGGAGGAGGGGAATTCTGGTGGTCTAGTGGTCAGGAGCCGGACTGCCACTTCAAAGGCATGCAGTTCACATCCACCAGCTACCCTTTGGGAGAAAAATAGGCAGTCTCCTCCAAATTTACTGCCTCTGGAAACCTGCTGGAGGGTCAGCTATGGGTCAGCTCTGATTTGACAGTTTGCAACGACACCATCACCACATTGAGATAGGAGAAGGCAAGGACTATCGGAAAGAAATGCATGATTAGACGTCATATGTGTGACAATCCACAATCCGGAACAAGATGTACATTAGAAAGTGAACTGGGGGAGGAGAAAGGAGGAGCGTGTGTGTCAGTGAGGGAATGAAATCCCATCCTTTCTGTCAACGTTCACTGCAATAAATTTTAAAAAAATTATTTAAAAGTAAAAAAAGGTCTCCAGATCGGGAAACTGAGGCTAGCCTGGTGAAGAGTATAGGTCAGTCATGAGGCTGAGTTGAGGAAGCAGGCTGGCTGGGGTCAGGGAGGGAGTCAGCTAAGCCACTCAGGGGAATCTAAGGCCTAATCTGAGCTGGTGAGGGAACAAGTATAGAGAGTTATGGGGCTGGAGGTACTGAACCATGTCCATAGCTGGAGAAGGCCAGGCTTAGAGGTAAGGAGAGCGCCAGGCAGTGTTAGCCCAACTCCCGACTGTTTACCCAGGCAGGTGGGGGAAGGAGGGAAGCTGGCCCGATAGGACTCCAGGTGTGGTGAGGCCAAAAGTCAGGCCCAAAGTTCAGCGGCGGATAAGACTCTTCCGGAGTCTTACAGCTTTGGTCAGAGTGTGAGCTGGGGCTGTAGGAGGCAACGCCTCCCTGGCACTTGAGCCAAGGGAAGGATATTAGGATGGGACGTGGACCAAGGTGGGAATGCATAGGAAGAAGTCACAACTGTGGAGTTTCCCTAAGAACTTTCTGGAAGCTTCTGAAGTTTCAGGCTTGTAAATGGAGCCCACCGCCTACAAGACCATCAGGGAGAAAGGTCTACCAGCTTTTGCGCTTTGAGGCAGGGATTCCTTGAAGATTCTGTAAATTGAGGCATGTTTGTGCCACAAATAACGCCACACAATGAGCCAGCCCTCAGCCATAACCCTGCACCTTTACATGGTGGGAACATTTTGGATGAACCCCGAAGGAACCTTCTGTGATGGGGAGGGGTATACTCTCTCTCCACTGTCCAATCTTGTCACCCCTCTTCATCTGTGGCTAGTGGGACTGAAGAAATGCATTGCATTTCATTTTTTAAAAATTTTATTAGTTTTAATGAACATTTACAGAGATTTTGGGTTTTCATTAATTCATTGTTGCACTGTTTTCTCTACCCTCCTCCCCAGTTCATTCTTCTTCCCCGCCCCCGAATGTCTGTTTTAATTGTCCAATTGCCATAGTGCTTGTCAAAGCCAGTTCTGATTAATCTCCTTTGTCAGTGTGTCCTTTGCCATTCCCTATCACTCCTCCCTGAGAGAGACTTCACCCTGATTCATAAGGAAAAGGGGATGGTGTATTCTCTTAGCTACTTCCTGCTGAAAAGGGACGCTGTGGGTTTCAGGGTGAAGATCTTCTCTCACTACTCTAAAGGGCCCCTTTGGCAGTAGGAAACACATAGACTATTATGGAGATTGATTTTGGAATTTAGATGCACTGTTATTAATTGTACTTAGCCGTACATGTTCATATCCTTGAAGATGTATCATGGAAGTGTTGCAGCCTAGAATTTAACTAACAAGTTAAAAGTACATGAGTCAAAAATTAACAAGCAATAATATTCCAAGTAGAGGTTCTAGTAGTGGCACAAATCAAGTTACAGAGGGAAGGTGGTTCTTACAATAAAAGGCCTATAGACTAGCATTTTGTCTGTTATAGTGTAGAGGTTAGGAACCACAAGATGTAGAATTTCATTTTAACTAATTTATATTTAAAAGGTGTTTGTATGGAACAAATGGTTTGTAATTGGTTTTTAACCCAAAGGTTGGCAGTTCAAGCCCACTCAGTGGCTCTGTGAAGGGAAAGGTCTGACATGCTGCTTTTGTGAAGACCCCAGCCACGAAAACTCCACGGGACGCTCTGTTCTGATGCACATGGGGCTGCCACGGGCTGACTCAGTGTTAACTACCAACAACAGCTTGTATTTTAATGGCCAAATGTGCTGGTAGCTACTGCAGAAGGAATCGTTTCAGCCCAAACTAAAAACGGAACCAAATAATTTGCTGTCAGTCAATTCCAACTCATGGTGACCCTGTGTGGGTCAGCATAGAACTACATCCCGGAGAGTTTTTATAGCTAGGATCTTTCAGAAGAAGATTGCCAAGCCTTTCTTCCAACGCACCTCTACCTGGCTTTGGACCACTAACCTTTTTGCTAGCAATCAAGTACTTTACCATTCGTGCAATCTATGAATTCCCAATGAGGCCCCTCAGCCAAACCAGGGCCCCTGCTGTACAGTCAGTGCCCACTCACAGGAGAACTATCTATCTCATAGGGTTTACAAGGTTGTCAATCTTTAGGGAGCTATAGTAGCCTAGTGGTTAAGGAATTACACTGTCAACCCGAAGGTCAGCGGTTCAAATCTCCCAGCTGAACTGCAGGAGAAAGGTGAGGAATCTCTTGTGCAATTTATAGCCTCTGAAAACCAATGGAAGGTCAGCTATAAGTCTGTTCCAACTCAACAACAGCCACAGCCTTTTGTTGGGAAATCTTGGAATTTGGGAAATCTGGGAAGCGGACTGCCACATATTTCTCCTATGGAGCGGCTGGTGGATTCTAATGACCAATCTTTCCATTAGAAGTTGTGGGGGAGCTCTGGTGGCCTAGTGGTAAGGAGCTGCAACTACAATCCCAGAGACGCACGGTTCGAATCCACCAGATGCTCTGCCGAGGAAGGAGGGACAATCTCCTCCTGTACCAGTCAGATCTGATTTGACGGTATACTTACACAAAAATAATAAGAAAAAAACACACACACAAAAAAACAAAAACAAGAAGTTGTGTAACCAGGGCTCCCCATGGAAGCCCAGACCCCTGCAAGACCCTCCCCATTCATCCAGGGGCCAGCCCTGACCGGTCTGTTGGAGGTGGGGCTTGGTGATGATACGAAATTTACATGACAAACCCCAGGTCATAGGGGAGCAGAAAAAAAAGGAGATCAGCTTATTGAAGGCACCCCAACTGGATGCCCTAAGGGTAGGATGTTACTTAGGATCCTGGGACAGACCTGAGGCGATAAGGCCTGCCTGTGACCTGTGACAGGGCAAGGGGTAGGGCAGGACAGGTACAGGCTCAGCGGAGCTCTGTAGTCATAGGTTTCTGAGTGGGGCAGGGTCTGGGAGGGCTGAAGTGCTCTCAGAAAAACACCCTGAGCTTGTGTCTGCCTGACTCAGCCAATGGAATGATCCTCTGACCTTGGCCTTGAATGTGGGTCTGGTGGACTCCTTCTGATAGAGTTCCCTGTATTTGCCAGTGGGTGGGGGCAGGGTGGGAACAAAGCATCTTAGACAGAGCCTGGGGACCCCCTGTACCAGCCATTGTAAGCACAGCCTACCAGAGTGTGTGCTGAGCACTTGGCTGGGGTTAGGTGGGGGCTAAGGAGTAGTGGAGGGTCCAGACCTCACCTGCGGGAAACCCTATTTGGCTGGGGAGATGAGAACCCCAAACCTGGTGAGCTGTGAGCGTAGAGGTGAGACTGAGGAAGGGGCATGTGTGGCAGGCTGAGGGATCTCTGAGTGGGCAGCACAGTTCCAGTGTATACCCTGGGGGAAACTGAGGCCTGGAGAAGAGATGTGAGGTGAGGGAGGAGCAGAGCCGATGTCTGGAGCTCTGCTTCCTGGTTCCAGGTTCAGACAAGGAAGACACTGTCAGCACGCAGGACCCTGGGGTTCTCTCTGGTTCCATGGGGTCCATGGGGTGGGGATGGGCTGATTTCCATGGCTCAGACCTCCCGGGGGCTGAGCAGCTAGCCAGTGAGCCCTTGAAGCCCAGGACACATGGCACCCATGTGAGGATTGCGTGGGCCCTGGGGAGACAGGCTGGCCTAGGACCCAGGGAAGATCACGAGAGGCTCAGGATGGAGGTGAGACAGTTCCTGTTGCTGGGAGGCCAGGTATGAACCTGAGGTAGGATAGGAGGTACTGGAGTGAGGGTGCAGGGCCCACCTCTCCCTAAGCTTTGAAGGCTGAGCTGTGACAGAGGCCCTCCTGCCAGGCCCCCCAGGGCAGAGTGAAGTAATCCCTTAGGCCCTTTAAGGTGTGGTGTGCAGCTAACCGAAAGGCTGGGAGTTCGAATCCACCAGTCGCTTGAAAGATGGCCAGTCTCCTCCCATTGATATTTATCGGCTTGGAGACCTTGGAGAGCCAATGAGTTTGAACAGGCTTAGTGACAGTGAGTGTAGACCTTCTAGCGGCACCTTTCAGATGGGACCCTGAAGGGAACAGCCTTCCTGCCAAGGGAGTCTCAGAGGTCAGGACACACGTTGTTGTTGTTATGCACTGTCGGGTCCCCTGTGTCTCTTGGTGACCCTGTGTACAACAGCTCTGAACCCTGCCCTGTCCTGATCCAGTCTCACCGTCTCTGACACACCTGCCCCTACTACCCCAGTCACTGAGTCAATCCATCTCATCCGGGGTCTTCCCCTCCTGCCTTGTCCCTCCACACATCCAAGCATGATGTCTTCCAAGGACTGGTCCCGCAACTTCCCCTGATCTTGACTGTCACCCCGGGCTGAGCAAGGGCAGTTCCAGTCTCCAGAGCGGAGTCTGAGGGCCCAAAGCCAGTGAGAACCCAGAAGCTGGCAGCCCCTCTTAGCTCAGGGCCACGGTTGCTAACTGTGTCTCTCCGTTCCCGAGAGCTCACCCCATCTCAGTCTCTGTATTGCTGCTCTGCCCACTACAGCTGCCTCACTCCGCCTTCCTCCTTTCCGTCCCTCCTCGTCTGTCCTTTCTCTCTGTCAGGACCCCTGGACGCCACGCCTCTGTGCCTCACAGCTCTCTCTGTCCCCTCGCCCCTGCTCAGTCTCCATTGAGGACATCCAGGAGGTGCGGCAGGGCCACCGCACCGCCGGCCTGGAGAAGTACGCTCGTGATGTGCCTGAGGACCGCTGCTTCTCTATCGTCTTCAAAGACCAGCGCAACACACTGGACCTCATCGCCCCGTCGGCGGCTGACGCCCAACACTGGGTGCAGGGACTGTGCAAGATCATCTACCACACGAGCTCCATGGACCAGAGTCAGAAGCTGCAGCAGTATCCTTGATGGTAGCCGCGAGCCAGGCTGTCCGCAGACAGGAGTGATAGGGGTTGCAGGGCCAACTGGCTGCATAAAGGAGCCCTCTCTGGCATGCTTTGCCCACAACCCCAAGAGCCAGAGGGTGCCTCCCCTTCCTGCTTCTGCCGCCAACAGGGAGTGGAGACACTGGGGACCTAGTCGTAGATGTTTAATCCTAACATTACTGCACTTTTCCCCTGTGGGAATACTGAGCCATTCTAAGCCATTATTATGGGAGTGGGTTAGCATGCAGGCCACCAGCCCTGATTACACAATCCAGTTGTCCAACAACATGCTAATGTCTGGTTCGGAGCGACCCAGCTTCTGGCACACATGGAATAACTACGGCTCCTTTTAAATAGCTGTTTTATTGAGATGCAATTCACGTAAGACGTACTTCACCTATTTAAAGTGTAAAAAAACTCAGCTGCAGTTAGTATATACACAAAGGTGTGCCGGCATCACCACAGTTAGCTTTGTGGCATTTCATCACCCTAAAAAAAAGAAATCCTACACCCCCAAATCCCCCAGCTCTAACCAACCAGTTGCCATGGAGTTATCTATCTCATGGCAGCCCCATGAGTGTCAGAGGAGGTCTGTACCCCAGATGGTGGCTGATTTTTAAGAGAAGTAGATCACCAGGCCTTTCTTCCTATATACCTCGAGGTGAACTTGCACATTCAGCCTTTTGCCTGACTGTTTGCACTGCCCAATGACTGACTCTTCTCCAGTCCTCAGTAGCCACTTACCTGCTTTCTGTCTCTTAAGCATTTCTGGGTATTCCAGGTAAGTGGAACCATACCCTCTTATGTGACTGGCTTCTTTCACTAGCAGTTTTCAAAGTTTATCCAAATTGTAACATGTATCAGTACTTCACTTCCCTTTGTGATGTATATTATTCCATTGACCAGATAGGATCTATTTTGTTTTGCTTCTCCATGCATTCATTGAGGTTATCTGGCCTGTTTCCACTTCTGGACTCTTGGAGATAATACTCTTATGACCATTCTTTCATGTTTTTTTTCTGTGTGCATAGGTTTTTATTTATCTTGGATGTGCACCTAGGAGTAGACTTGCCAGGTCCTATATTAACCCTTTGTTTAACCTTTTGAGGAGCTGTCAGACTGTTTTCCAAAGTGGCTGTATCATTTTACATTTCCCCCAACAATACATGAGGGTTCCAGCTTTTCACGTTCTCTGCCAACACTTGTTCTTTCCCTGTAGTTTTTATTACAGCTACCCACGCAGATGTGGAGTGTTACCACATTGTGGCTTTGATCTGTGTTTCCTTGATGGTTAATGATCCTGACCATCTTTTCATGTGATTTTTGTCCATTCGTGCATCTACTTTGGAGAAATGTTTATTCAGATTCTTTGCCCATTTCCCCTCTATCTTTTACAAATTCTTTTTACTGGGATTTGAGTGAAAGTTTACAGAGCAGACTGGTCTCCATCACACCATTCCCTCACATTTTATGACCTGGATAAGATTCCAAGCTCCACACTGCTCCTCCTCCTTCCTCCCTGTTTTCGGCCCATTTTCAAATGGAGTTATCTGTCCTTGTGTTACTGAGTTGTAAGAATTCTTGATGTGTTCCAAAAACAAGTCCCTCATCAGATGTGTGATTTCCAGATGTTTTCTCTGAGTCTCTGGTTGTCACCTTACGTTCTTTGTGGTGTTCTTGGAGACACAAAGCTTTTCATTTTGATAAAGTGTAATTTCTTTCCCTTTGGTTGCTTATTCCTTTGCTGTCATATTTCAGGGACCTTTCTCTAACTCAAGGTTGTGAAGATCGTTTCCATTTTCTCCTAAGAGTTTATAGTTTTAGCTCTTACATTTATGTCTCTGATCCATTTGGGGCTAATCTCTGTGTATGGTGTCAAGGAAGGGTCCAGCTTCATTCACTCTTTTGCGTGTAAATATCCAGTTGTCATGTTTCTTTAAACTATCCTTTTATTCACAGGGAGCTCTAGTGGAAAAGGATGGGCAATCTCCTCCTGTGTGATCACTACCTCCGAAAACTCACTAGAGGGTCAGCAATGGGACGGTTCTGATTCGACGGTACACACCAACAATTCTTTTTATTATTATTATTATTTTTTTTTATTATTAAATTTTATTAGTTTTAATGAACATTTACAGGGATTTTGGGTTTTCATTCCTTCATTGCTGCACCATACACCAACAATTCTTTATTCACTGAATTATCTTGGCACCCTTGTTAAAATCAATTGATCATAAATGCCAGGGCTTATTGTATCCTGTTAATTTATGCTTTTTCCCTTATGCCAGCCAGCCGCACAGTCTCAAGTCCTGCATCTCTGTAATAAGATCAGAAGAGTAAGCTCTCCAAATGTGTTTTTTTTCTTTTTCTTTTCGAATTGTTTTGGCTGGTGGCAAGAAGCTGCATTGAAATCCCAAAGACGCTTGGTTCAAATCCACCAGCTGCTCCGTGGGAGAAGGATGGGCAATTAAGTCCTATGCAATTAACTGCCTCTGAGGGTCAACTATGGGTCGTTTCCAACTCTACAGTACACAACAACAACAACACAACAAACTTCCACATATTTTGAGATCAGTTTGTCAGTTACTACAGTTGGCACCTTGTCAGAGAACCCGATGAATCTGCAGGTCAGTTTGGAGTGTTACCACTTTAATCCAGAGTGGATGAGCCTAAATGAGTGATGTAACCCTTACATGTAAGGCATTTAAGTTCTTCTTTGTCTTTCAACAATGAAACAACAACACTGCAAAGACATCCTCTGTGCATGACGTCCTTTTGGTATTTAGCACTTCTTTATCTGTCAATAAAACCACTGTTGGGGGAGCTCTGGTGGCCTAGTGGCAAGAAGCTGCACTGTAATCCCAAAGGCATGCAGTTCAAATCCACCAGATGCTCCACTGGAGAAGGAGGGGTAATCTCCTCCTGTGCCAGTCGTATCTATTACGAATCTGATTTGACAGCACACAAGAAGAAAAAAAAGAAAACCCCAAACAAATAAAAGGGAAAACCCTCAGATAAACAAACAAACAAAAATCTCCACTGTTAAAGTCGGACACAACATAAAGCCTCCCTCTCTAGGGCTTCTGAAGCTGTAAATCATGATAGGAGGAACCTGCCTTTCTTTCTCCTGAGGAGCCGCTGGTGGGTTTGAACCACTAGACCTACCCAGCGTTTGCATTTTAGCGCATCTCACTATGGACTGTGCCACAAGGCTCCCTTCCTTATCAACAGACTCCTAGACATGGAATTCCCGAGTCAGCAGATAGAGTTGAAAGCTTTAGCTGTTCCTTGGTCATTTCCCTGGAGGTTGTACCAATTTACCTTCCCTAGAGAACAAACAGATATGTCTTGGAGAGAGCACAGTCAGAGAGCTCTCTGGAGGCAAGAATGATGAGGCTTCACCTCACATACTTTGGGCATGTTGCTAGGAGGGGCTGGTCGTTGGAGAGGGATGTGATGTTGGGAAGGATGGAGAGTTGGCAAAGGGGAGGAAGACCTTCAACCAGGTGGATTGACACAGTGATGGCTGCAGTGGGCTCTTGTGTGTTGGAAGTGTGAGGATGGTGCAGGACAGAACAGGGTTCAGATCTTTTGTTCATAAGGGTCACTGTGAGTCGTATTCGACTCAAGAGTACCTATCAACAACATGTAATAGGTGAAAATGTCCATTTTCCCTCACATTCATTTCCTTGCACTTGGAATTATACTTCTAAGTCACTTTCGAGTTTAAGGCATTGCTTTCATTTTCAAATGTCTAACAAATTTGATTAGTAGTAATGTTTGGAAAGGGGCATCTACTTCCTAAACAGCATGCCTCTGGAAACTCTCTGAACTTTGATAAATGTCAATAGTTATAGAAAGCCTTCAGGCCTTTTGCTCATAGTCATGCTATGATGCTATGAGTCATGCTCGACTAGATGGCAATCAACAACAACATACGATTGTTAATTCATGAACCCTTCTAAGCTTTTGCTGGCCATGTTGTCCTACAGTGTGTCCAATGGATACCTTTCCTTTTCTCTTCCGGATTCTCACACCTTCTTAGTACAAGTCTTTAAAGCATCGCTTGTGTTGTTTTCTTCTGGAAGCCTGCTGCCCTTGTGTGTGTCCACCTCCCTGTGTCTAGAGTCAGTTCTTGAATGTCTGTGGACTGGGCTGTGGAGGCTGCACCCTCCAGGGCCCTTCTCCTCTGGCTCCTCAAGGTCACCTGAGGTGTGCGGTCAGTGGAGGCTGAAGTGTTCCAACCGTGAGGACTTGACCTGGGCTTTGACTTTTGTGTTTCATCCTCAGTGGCTTGATAGATGCTGTTTTCTATAACCGTAGCCCAGCTGGTACATGGGTTAAACGCCGAGTTGCTAACAGAAAGGGAGGTGATCTGATCTCACCCAGAAGCTGTGTAGGTGAAAGGCCTGGTGATCTCCTTCAAGGTCCCAGCCCAGAAAACCCAGGGGCCTTCTCTCCTACTCTGTCAGTTGGTCGTGATGAGTTGTATTCAGCTGACAGCACCTAAAAGCAGCAAAGTACTTTGTCAAAGTCAAGGTGGCTAAAAACCAAAGAGACATTTCTACATACATAGATTGAAAACTAGAAAGACATACATCTGTACAGAAAGACATAGCATTTCAGTACTAAAGATCATTATCTTGTTGAACTAGGAGAGATTTGTTTGTTGGTTTTCCTGCATTTTCTTTCTTTTTATGTTCTTAAGCCCTTTTTTACTGGTTTTTGTACACATGGTGTAGGAAAGTGCACACTTCTTTGTGTGATGTACTCAGTGGTCTGACATATGCTATGTTAGTACACATTATGTATAAAATGTGTACATAATGTGTAGGATAACACAATTCATATACATTGCGTTTCATTCCTGTACCTTGTGCTTTCTGGCATCATTCACATACATTGTGTTTTGGCTAATTGCTCTTGGACAATGCCTTTTTCATTCTCTCTCATCAAGACCCCATTGTACATTACCTCTTCTTTAATCTCCCCCGCCCCCAAGTCTGTCCACTAATACCTGCTCCCTAGTGGTTTCCGCCCCCTTCTTTTTTCTGCATTTTCTGTATTGGCTACAGTGAGGTCTATAGTGAGAAAACAAAGGTCCAGCAATTAGAAAAAGACCTCTTAATAGGATGTCATATGTTCTTCCAAAGAAATGACCAGGTCTTGTTGCTGAAATGTAGGTGTGCTGTATGCTAGGCTTGCTAAGCCGTGTCTCCAGGTGGTCTTGGGGAAGGAAGGTTTCGGGCCAGGGATTGAAGGGGCTTGAGTGCTCTGGATGAGACCTCTGGGGCGGTACCAGGGCTCCCAGGTTCTTTCCTTACCTTGCTTAGCTGGATTCACTCCTGCCTTCGCAAAGCTGACAAAAACAAGGATAACAAGATGAGCTTCAAAGAGCTGCAGATCTTCCTGAAGGAGCTCAATATTCAGGTGGACGACAGTTACGCCTGGAGGATCTTTAGGGTGAGGCAGGAAGTGACCACCTGGATCAGGTTGCTGGGTGGGGCGAGGGCGTGGGGCTTGGTCCTGGTCTAAGACCAGCTCTGAGGCTTGTCCACTGGACTGTCGTCGCTTGGCAGGAATGTGACTTCTCCCAGACGAACTCCCTGGAGGACGAGGAGATTGAGGCCTTCTACAAGATGCTGACCCAGCGGCAGGAAATTGACCAGATTTTCTTCGAAGCCACAGGCTCGGAGGAGACCATGTCGGTGGACCAGCTGGTGACCTTCCTGCACCATGAGCAGCAGGAGGAAGCTGCGGGACCCGCACTGGCCCTCTCCCTCATCGAGCGCTATGAGCCCAGTGAAAAGGGTAAGGCCCAGCTGGGGCCCTCAGGCTGCAGGCCTCGGGCCTTTGGGGGTGCTGCCAGGCAAAGGGGGTGTGCCACCCAGCCCCATGACTCTGTACCCCGCAGGCAGTATATTGACCTAGTCAAGCTGACTGATAGCAGAAAGGGCTCCAGCATCAATACCCCTCAGTTTCCCTCTCGGTTCTTCCTCCAGGGGTTCTGGGGCCTGTCTTACTGTCCCAGAAACCCATAGAGAGGTGGCTGGGAAAGCAGATCTTTTCAGCTTCCTTATCTTTTGTGCTCAGCCCGAGTCACTTCTTTGAGAGTTGTCAGAGCAGGGGCCAAGGAACCCTGTTCAGGGCCTGCAAGTTGGAATGTAGAGGGCATCCAGAGACGAGCTTCTGCCCTCAGAGGGCCTCAGTGTGGGGTCACAAAGAGCCTGCCCTCACTGCAGGGTAGCCAGTCCAGGTGGACATGAGTGGATTCACCCCACTTCCACGGGATACAGAAGGCAGGAGGCAGGGAAAGCTCACATGCGGCGGCTCTCTCTCCCTGCAGCCAGGACTCAACGGCAGATGACCAAGGATGGCTTCCTCATGTACCTCCTGTCAGCGGATGGCAGTGCCTTCAACCTGGCGCATAGGAAAGTCTACCAGGACATGAACCAGCCGCTCAGCCACTACCTTGTCTCGTCCTCACACAACACCTACCTGATGGAGGACCAGCTCACCGGGCCCAGCAGCACAGAAGCCTACATCAGGTGGGGGTTTGGGGGCGGAGCCTGTGTGGTGGGGGTGGGGCCTGGTGAGATAGTGGAGGTGTGGTCTGAGGTGAGGGTGTGGTCTAGGGCAGGGCCTGGGGGACTGAGATGCACTGTGGGGGCGTGGCCTGGTAAAAGGACCTGGTCTGGGGTGGAGTCTATTGTGCAGGGTGTGATGGGGCGTGGCCTAGAGTGTGGGGTGGGGTCTGGGGCGGGGTCTATTGTGCAGGGTGTGATGGGTGGTGTTTATAGTGTGGGGCATGGTCAGGGAGGAGTCTATTGTACAGGGTGTGATGGGGCGGGGCCTAGAATGCAGGGCGTGTCTGGGGCGGAGTCTATTGTGCAGGGTGTGATGGGTGGTGTCTATAGTGTGGGGCATGGTCAGGGAGGAGTCTATTGTACAGGGTGTGATGGGGCGGGGCCTAGAATGTAGGGCATGTCTGGGGTGGAATCTTGTGCAGGGTGTGATGGGGTGGGGCCTAGAGTGTGGGGCGGGGTCTATTGTGCAGGGTGTGGTCTAGGGAAGGGCCTGGGAGATGGAAATGCTCCGTGGGGGCGTGGCCTTTGAAAGGGCGTGGTCTGAGGCAGAGTCTCATGCAGGGGTTGATGGGGCGGGGCCTAGAATGTAGGGCGTGTCTGGGGTGGAGTCTTGTTCAGGGTGTGATGGTGGGGTCTATAGTGTGGGGCGTGGTCGGGGCGGAGTCTATTGTGCAGGGTGTGATGGGGCGGGGCCTGGTGTGTAGGGCGTGGTCTTGGGCGGAGTCTATTGTGCAGGGTGTGGTCTAGGGCAGGGCTTGGGAGACTGAGATGCACTTTGGGCGCAAGGCCTGGTGAAAGGGCGTGGTCTGGGGCGGAGTCCATGCTGGAGGGTCAGTACTGAAGGGTCCTGCCTTCCTTCCACGTCCAGGGCCCTGTGTAAAGGCTGCCGCTGCGTGGAGCTTGACTGCTGGGACGGGCCCAACCAGGAACCGATCATCTACCACGGCTACACCTTAACCTCCAAGATCTTATTTAGTGATGTGCTCAGAGCCATCCGGGACTATGCCTTCAAGGTGCGTTCACCCCGGGAGAATGGAGGAAGGAAAATACTGGCGAGGGTCTCCTCCCTCCTAACGTGTCCTCGGGGTCCCCAGGCCTCCCCCTACCCCGTCATCCTGTCCCTGGAGAACCACTGCAGTCTGGAGCAGCAGCGAGTGATGGCGCGGCACTTGAGGACCTTCCTGGGCAACTTTCTGCTGGACCAGCAGCTGGACGGTGTCAACAGCAGCCTGCCTTCCCCCGAGGTACGTGGTGGGGATATTGACACCCACAGGGGAGGATGCAGAACTGGCCGGGAGGAGTGGACCTGGGACTCAGCTGCTTCCTTTTCCTCAGCAACTGAAGGGGAAGATCCTGCTGAAGGGAAAGAAGGTTGGGGGGCTACTGCCCCGTGAAGGGGAAGGTAATACCGAGGTCACTGTGGTGTCAGATGAAGATGAAGCTGCGGAGATGGAGGACGAGGCGGTCCGGAGCCAAACCCAGAACAAACCCAAGGTAAGCCTCGATGCAGTCAAGGTGGGCGGCCCGAGGCCCTCCTTCGTCCTCTGGCCCTCACCTGGCGAGGTGGCTCGGTTCTCTCTGGCCACCTCTCAGAGCCTCT